TGCAAGACAGTAGAAAAGCTACAAATGTATTGTGGCCATAATGTTAGTTCTATTTAAACAGAAAAACAAAATACTGATATATTACTTGGGAAGACTAGCTGCCACATTCTGAAGGATTATTTCATATAGGAACATGAATTCAAATCCCAATTGCCTTTAAATCAAACCAAATTATATAGACCTGTGACAAGTTTAGTCAATCTGGTAAGCTTCAAGTATTTTGGCCTTTCAATTTCCATCCTATCCTCCTTAGCACAAGAAAGCAAGGTGACAAAGCTTCTATGCTGACTTGAGTCTGTGGACAACACACTAAATGCAGGCAATTGATATAAAATAGGATGCCAGCTTAGGAGGAAGTTCCCCCCCACACACACACATTTATCAGGATGAGTTATAGTGGGCTGCATCCAACATTAGATGAGCAGACATGCATTTGCTACAGTCCAGCCTTTGAGAAAGATTTAGGGAAGGAGGATAGGAATGTTAGTTCACTAGCAGATGTCAGCCCAGTATTAATAAAATATAAATTCAGAGGCAATTTAAATACTGACTTTTAAATATTTTCTCTATACAAAATGGCAGAAGTTCTGTTCTTTATAATATGGAATTGGCAATTCTGTGATTTAAAAAGACAGATGCTGTTTGATTTGGAGAAAACTATGATTTAAGGCTTTCTATAATACTGCCTTTTATGTGGAAACGAGGTTGCCTTCTCTTTCTGCCCACATAATTGTCAATTCTTTCTGACAATGGCCACCATTACTATAGGCCAATCACACTCTCTCAGCTAAGCTATCACATAGGTTTATGTGAGGAGAGACTCCTTATATGTTACTTTGAACTCCTGAACGAAAGATACATCAAAATTTATTTATTCAATTTATATGGCCATCTATTAATCTCTTTTCCTCAGTAACACAATATAGAGCAATTAAAGAGTTAAAATAGCAGAGGCTATTCTGGTTCATCTCATACAGAACTTGGTTTAATATTGTTTCCTACTTCAAGGCTAGATGTTAGCATACTGCTCTCACCAAAGTGCTGTAAAAGTCCAAGTTCTTTTTGAGACCCTGATCCATAAGACCACTAGGGAAGTAACTGAATCTTGAGGTCTTTTATATGAAATATATAATATATAGAAACTACATGGTACTGAACCTGTTTGGTGCAAGCCCACTGATTCCAAGAAAAGATCACTGATATCATAATGAAAAAGCTATAGGGTCATGTCTGCAAAGGTAAGCTAATGCACATTGCTTGTATTGTTCATTGCTCTTTGAAACTGCAGGTAAAATAATTAATTTCATTAGTTATAATCACTTCAATATAAAAGAGAGGTATCACTATATTTTGGATTTTGTTCATAAGACACCTGGTTTTAGTGTTGCCATCAAGTGCCAAAAGAAAGCTGTTTTTTGTTCAGCTGATCACATATTCATAAAATTACAAGTTCCTTTTCAGCAAAATAGCAAAATTGAAAGTTGGTCTAACTTTTCTCAGAAAACAACTTTATTGTGTATTTCACAGCACTGCCCTTGTCTGAAGATCCAAGGAAAGATGAAAGACATTAATGTTCAGGAAATCATCTAGAACTTGAAGACTAGCCCTATGATACTTCTATAATTTCATTTGTGAATTTTTCAAAAAAAAAAATCATTTGTGAATTTTTCAAAAAAAACCAGAACAGCAAAAATGTGTTATCAAAGCATTCATTTATAGTAATGATCTAAAAAGTAACCTAGGATGTAAGCAATGGATAGTTCAGAATGGTAGAGCTCGTTCACTATTGAATATGAATGATCTTGGAGTAATTGCCTGATCCCATCAGTGTTGCACAAAAGACAATGTGTTCCTTAGTCAATACTACAGTTATGCTAAAATATTATCTTCTGAAGCCCAATGTTTGCACCCTGCAATAGAGATGGGATCATTCAAATGTTTGAAATAATATGCCTGTACAATGAGATGATAGAAAATATTTCTGATCCTTTGAACAAAAGCTAATTTCTTCTGAACTAGCACATTAGGTTGATTGGCAAGAGGAGTTCAGAAGTGTTAATATTTATAAATACCACTCTTCATCTATCCATATTATATATTGAGAAAGAGTGAGACATTGAAACCTTATTAAAAACCTAAAACTCTGTTAAAAAGTGAGCGTAGCGAGGATGGAAAAACTGAATTGAACCTCATTTACCTAATATTGGTGGAATGAGCATCCTAAATGAGGCAGCTTGGTATACAACAGATAAGAAAAACAAGTATACATTGGCCTCATTTTATACACAGCTACTCATTAATTATTTTATGTTGAATAGGCAGCATAACAAAAAGAGTTCATATTTGCTTTCATATTTTCTTGCGTACTAGCATAACTGGTCTATTGTTTTTGATATATTAATAATCAAGTGTTACTAATCTAGAATCTGGGGCTAATTATAAAAGGTAAAATATCTCTTATACAAAACCAAAGAAAAAGATCATAAAATTCTATTTTATGTATGTCAAGATTTCCTTTTTTTTCTTAATCTCTATAGTTTTACTGCATTAAGTTCCCTGGCCAACACATCAAAACTCTGAAAGCAATGGGTAGAAATCAGATAGGATTATAACTTTAAAAAATCAAGTCATCATAAAAATAGTATTCATGAGAACGTAAAATACAATATTTGTATAATGTAAAAATGGGATTGCATGGAATGTTATTCCTCCATACTGACTGACCAATGGCATGTTTAAAAAATAATTTACCATTGACCATCACAAATAGTGCAGGACTAATGGACTTTGGACAGAATGAACAAAATTTCCATGTGGGCAATATCCCAAAATAACAGACTTCTTGTTTGGGGAATGGTCTGGACAGCAGTTGCTACTAAACACTCAAAAATGGATATGCTTCCTGTGTAACTTCTGGGAGACAAAAAATGCAAGGATGGTGAGGCGGGTGGTGGGTGTATATTGTACATATTTAATGGTGGAGTTCCTGGGAGGGTCAAGGAGAAAAGGGAACTGAGAAAACCCGGCAGACGATGGGAGGAGGAGGGGTGGGGCTGAGCGGGGCTGAGGAAAAGAGACTGGGGAGGTGTTATGAGGAGGAACAACAGCTGTGACTCCTTCCCCTTCCCTCACCTGCAGTTCTGGCCACTGCTTCCTTGGTGACAGGAGCAAGAGAGAAAAGTGTCATCAAACATCTCAAAGACTGATGCTAGGAACAACTACTTCCTTTGAAGGGGTGGATTTGAAAGTGCTTTTTCCTGTAGTTCATCTCTAGGAAGGCTAGAAAGCAAGGAAAGTGGGGTGTGGATGGTTGGAGGCGGAGGGCAACCTGAGAGTTTAACGGACATTCAGATTTAATGAATACCCCTGTCCCTTAAACAGTCTGTTCAACTGAGGCTGCTCTATACTTTAGTATAGTACTAAACTACATCTGCTTAATGATTATGTATAACATAAGTATGAGTAAACTAAAATGGCCTAGGTACACACCAGCCTAATCAATAAATGTGCTGAACTGTAGAAAGCCATGCCTGTTCCAATCCAGCAAGACTGATCCCTGTGCAGACTTTTATATAAGGGCTGCACAGGAGAAGAAATGTATCTTATGTCAGGCTTTTTTTTTTAATTAATTTAGGCTGGCATATTTCAGGTAGAAAAATGATGATAGTACATGACCTCATCCATTTGGCGTGTGAGACTCCTGACTTCTCTTATTTATCCACACCAAAAGGAGAGAAGCGGTCCTAATTAACTATCTTGTCCATCTGAAGATCAAAGAAATATTTGCATATTAGTACTGCTGAACTGAGAATACTTCAACTATTACTAAAGAAAGAAAGAGTGTACTCGTATTTAATACAGAGTACTAAGACACTGATAATAAACTAAATTTCTCATTCTTTCTGACTGTTCCTTACTGCTTCGCAATTTTTAATAATGCAGAAGTTGTCTTATTCTATAATCATTCCACACAAGCGATACACAGTATTTCTGACCTACTATAATGTAGAAATACAATGACACCTACCTTATTTCTTTAAAGCGTAGATTTATCCTAGCTGCCTGAATAAAATGCCCACATGCCTCTTGATAACCCTAACATGTTCCACTGCCTGCAGTGATACTTCAAATTATGTACATTTTCTGCATCAAGAGATGGATACAATTGCATGTAAATATTTTTTAAAGTCTTGAGGGCAATTTTCTTAAGACTTAGACAAGTCATATAAGAGCTTAAAAGATTATAGGAGTTACAAAGAATGAAGTCAAGAATCGTCAGTTATAATCCCACAGATCATCCTTCAGGACTAATCTGGCATACATTATTACACTTATTAGCTCCTTTAGAAAATCTCAACTCCCATCACCAAAGGCCATGTCATAAATTGCCTTTCATCATGTTTATTTTTTAAAATCTTTTAAATGAAAAAATAAATATTCAAACATCCTATTTAATAAATATTTTGAGAAATAGGTTTACTAAAAATGTTGCATCTGTCATGGCTAGAACTAATACGGTATTTTAAAACAGATAGTCCTATCAATCTAACTAAATGTTTGAAAACTTTACAATGCATTTCTTGTAATCATTGTGGCCTTGATAACTTAAATTTTTTGAAGGTTATCCAACTTCTATACAACATTCAACTTCAGTAAAGACTGTGCAAACAATTGGGATACATGGGTTGGGGATTTTTTTCTTGACTGTAATGAAACAGTTTAACTATAAAAACCAAATTCTAAGTACAAGGTACACTTTCAGAATTTTTAACATTTTCATATAGAAAAAAGTGCATTCTTTTGTTCAGCTTGTACAGTTCTTCCGTACATTATAAAATAAATTGCAAGCCTCTTCTAGGATGTAGCAGCATTGCAAACATGACACATACAATCATTGTCACTAAAAATAAATACTACTGAAGTGTAACAAAATATTCAATTAAAATATCAGAAGAAAAAAAAACTAGTTCATAAACTCAAAAAAACATAAAAACATACAAATTTTGGTGGAAAGCAATATTGTTGCTTGTCTAAGTTCTTCAGCCTCCAGGGGTGATGAATATCAACAAAGAAAACGGAAAGCACAAGACACAAATCATAACAGGTTGAAACAACATCACTTGCTGCTTTCATGTTATAATTTCTTCCATTTAAATGTCCCATTCTCCATAATTGCACATGATTCTGGAAGTCTAAGTGGGAAACTGGTGATCCCAGACTTTTTGCTTCTTGGGTAGTATCCAACAGTTAAAAAATAATTATATATAATTATACATATATCTTATCTATCTTTGTGTGTTTGTGTGTGAGTATGTGTATGTGTGTGCGTGCGTGCACACATATACACACACAATTATAGGACCTTTGCCTGAATGTTTTTATCTGCGTTAAAGATAAAACTGATTCAAGTGATGACATATATCTACCAAAAACTTGCATATGTACACAACCACCTTGTAGTATTTTCTAGTTCTGTCAAGCTCCAATCAGCTTGAGAAAATATCCAAATTAATCACGTTTTAAAATTTTGATCTGCCTTTTAAAAGGGAACAAGGACTGTATCACAGACCAGCATGTCCTTTAACCTCTGCTCTGAGAAGGCAAGAGAACAAAAGCTGGTTGTGCACACAACTGAGAATTTTCCTTCTAATATCTGGGGATTGCTTTTTGCTACGACTTTCATGCTGAAACAGCAGTAACTGCAGGTCAGCTTAGACCAATGTAACACCTCATGCAGATAATTCAAATAAGCTGATAATCAAAAAAGGAACTTGGTCAATTTGGAATGATTTCTGAAAGTGCTCTGCTCTCCTAAATAATTACAAGGACTGGTGGTGATGTTCAGGAATCATTTTCAGTGATAAATTGAGTATGTCTCTATAGCAGGAATACAAAACAGGAAGTTATTCCCGTCCACTTGCAGAATAAGAAAACTGAGGGAAATGTGGTCGTCTCTCATTGTCCATGCAGTCCATGCCATCTTCATCATCTGTGGAATTGAAGGTTAAAGATAGCCTCATAAAAATGATACTGTCTTAAATGCATTTTTCTTAGATTAGTTCAATGAAATGTGAAAAAAATCACATTTTGTCTTTCAAATTTTATTGTTGGAAGATTTTAATATGCATTTCATATTTCAAGTTGCCAATTAAACAAAATTTTTGAATATGAAATTACTCTTGTATTTATGTTTACTATAATCTTTTGTAGAGATATGTAAAACTAAAGACTATTTTTGCAAATGTTTTTTAGAATGAGAAACCAAATGGACTAAACAGAAAAAGATTAATTATTAGGCCTAGTTCGAAATATAAATGTTACAAGTCTTCAGAATTCTTTTGTAATAGGGTTACAAAAGAAGAATGCTCGATATTCAGTAGAGTGAAGAAATAGATTAAATAGAATCTCACTCCAGTAAGTTTATACTCTGAACTTTTGAACTAATTCCCACCTACTCATCCAACCCATCTTGTATTAATCACAGGGGCTTTTTTATCCTTCTAAATTAGGGTACAGCAGAGTACATAATCATGTTTGAAGTCATTGCTGAAGATTTCCTGTTATAACATCTCATAGACAGCTCCAGGTGTACTCATATACAAATAAAAGGCAGCCAATAATTCCTTATTCTCCTCCTCCTGTCGCTGCAGTCTTTTATGCCTCGTAACAGCTGTATCCTGACAATTTGGATGAATGTGAGTAACACAGACCTCTACTATTGAAGACACCCACCGAAAATTTTTTGGCAAGAATACACGGTGCCAAAAAAAGTGAACTATCAACCTTCTTCTCTTCGCACTGGTAGACCTTTCTGATTTCCAGGGACACTCCTCAATGGCTGACTGATATCATCACTGGATGCTCACACTCACAATAGCTTTATAATCTAAGAATATGTCTTAATCTAAGAATATGTCTTAGATTCTTCATAATCAAATAAATGAAATGTGAATTCCTCCCCTCCTACCTTCCTTAATAATGAGATACTTACATTTTTCAGGTGGTGTTATTGTAATAGTTTGAGCAGTAAACTCTTCATCAAAGTATCTGGTGTCGGTCTCAGATGTCACTTGTGGTTTAAAAGGAGGAACAAGCTGAAGGTGTAATGAAAGAAAAATGTTTATTAATAAATATGAACATTCTCAATTTAAATGTAGGATTGTAAAAAGAGGTAGGAGTAATTAATTTTATTCTACTAGTTAAGAACAGGTAACAGGATAACTGAAACCTGAATGCCAACTAGTTTGGCCAAGTTTTAGCCTAGCGAATTTCTATTTTAGCAATTACAGAGGGGGGGAAAAAGTAGTCTTAAAAAATAAAGAATTCATAAATCACAAACAAGTATTTACTTATTTGATAAGCATTTTATTCCCATTTTAAAATAACCCATTAAATTAAAAAGCTAAAATGAAAACACATCCATTAACATAAGCATCACAAATTTAATCAACCATTTATTAAAATAAATGGGCTTGAACACACTGTACATTACATTCCAATTTTCACAAACCATCCTTTCCCCTGCATGTATGTCTTGGTTTCTTAAATCTGTCTTCCATTGATGTCTTAAAAAAATAGCTTCATGTGGTTTATATAATCTTCTAGATGGCAAGGAGGTGATGAGTAGCAGGGAGAAAGAAGAACTGCTTAATTCATTCTTTAATCTGTCTTTATGCAAAAGGAAGAAATAATTCAGCCTATTAAAAGCAGCAATGTAGGAGATAGAATAGGAATGCAAGTCAAAATAGGCAAGAAAATGGTAAGAGAGGACCTGTCCACAGTAGTTCACAGTCAACTTCTTGGTAAGATAGAACAACGTGGGATAGAAAGTACTACCAGATGGATTCACAACTGGCTGACCAACCACACTCAGTGGATATTTTTCATTAGAAATACATCTACATGGAGAGAAGCTTGAATGGGATATCACAAGGTTATGTTTTAGGTCTAGTGCTCTTCAACATCTTCATAAATAACAGGGGGTAGACAGGATACTAAATTTGTAGAAGACACCAAACTGGGGAAAACAGCTGATTTTTTAGATGAAAGACTCAAGATTTAGAAGGACCTGGACAGATTGAGCCCTATCCAACAATATGCAATTCAGTGGTAAGAAAATTAAGGTCCTAAACTTAGGGAAGAAAAAAGAAATGTGCAGATATAGCATAGGTGGTACCTACTCAACTATGAGGGGGATCTAGATGTACTAGTAGACACTTAAGTACGAGCCAGCAATGTGCTGCTGCTGCCAAAAAAGCCAATGCAATCCTAGATTACATCGACAGAAGGGTGGTTTAAAGATCACATGAAGTGATAGTACCATTTTATAGTGCACTGGTAAAAGCACACTTGGAATACTGTATCCCATTCTGGTCACCACAATACAAAATAGAGGGACCATAGAAACAATGTGAAGAAGGGTAAGAAAGAGGACAAAAGGTCTAGAGGTGAAGCCATATGATGAACGAATAAGGAAATTAGGTATGCCAAGTCTTACAAAGAGAAATATTAGAAGCAATATGATAGCAGTCTTCCAATACTTGAAGGGCTGTCACAAAGAAGGAGTTTAATTATTCTCCAAGGCACCTGAGGGATAGACAAGAAGTAACAGGTGGAAGATCATTAAGGAGAGATCCAACCTATATAGAACTGAATTGAAAATTTCCTGACAGTGAGAACCAGTGGTGGTATGCTATCAGATCAGCCCCATTTAGGCGAACCAGTAGTTAAAAAAAGCCTCGGATCAGCTGAGAGGAGGGAAAAAAAGCTTCCAAATCAGCCAAGAGGATAAAAGACTGAAAAGCGATGGGAGAGGGAAGAGTCGCTCCTAGCTTTTCATTTCTTCATCCTGTCAGCTGATTGGCTTGTTAGGTGCGCACGTGTTAGGTGTCGCACACACGCGATCACCCACCGAACCGATAGGGACTAAGGTAGGATCCCACTACTGGTGAGTCAGTAGAACAGCTTCCCTCCAGAAAATGTAAGTGTTCCATCATTGGAAGTTTTCAAGAGGAGATTGGACAGTCATTTGTCTAGAGTTGTATAGGGTCTCCAGCTGAGCAAAGGTGTTGGACTAGAAGACCTCCAAGATCCCTTCCAACTCTTATTATTCTATGTTTTAGACAATCATTTCAAACATGAAAATCATAACTTTTTTTCCTATATCTATATTTATTCATCTATCCTTCCTTCTTTTCCTGAAAATCCAGGAAGTCAAGAAAGAAGCTTCCCAAGACTGCTACCTAATAAAATCAATAAAGCTGAATCAGCATTAATCTGCTCTTTTGTATCAGTCTTTTTAGACCAAAGGTCCTTGTAACACTAATTATTTTAGGCTTTTTTCTGTTTTGGATCAGTGTATCTGTAATTAAATCTTAATCAGAGTTATATACTGTATGTATAGGATTTATGGTTGACTACATTTCTTTCAAAACATTCATTAACTTAAAAACTTTAAAAACAAACTATTAAAACACTTTCTATATCAGCAAAATCAGACCAAAGAGGATGTGCTTAGATGGTAGTTACTCTAATCTCAAAATTCTGACATAGAAAAAGCAGAAGTTTCAATTTAATTAGTGTTAGATGAAACAATAAATCTCAGTAATAGGTAGAGTGTTCAGGCAATTTTCTTCAGGGTAAGCAAAGATATAAAGCAGCAAAAAAAAGAAGTAATAAACAAACAGAAAATATATGCCTTTATATTCTTGCAAACCAGCCTTGCTTTCACCAGCCTAAAGCTTTTTGTTCTTTATATTTCTTACCAGTGTTGATATAAAATAAATGAACTTATCTGATTATATTTTACATATCACTCATACATTTCATTCAACAATGACTCTCATAACCATTTTAATTTCTGTGTACATTCATTCTCAACATCCCCCAGTCCATATAGATTACAAAATCTCCCCACTCCCAATTGTGCCAGATGTGTGCTTAAGGACAGGACAGTTAAGTTTTATAAAAATAAATATACTGAATATGAGCTATCGCAGGGATCCACAACCCAGTCTGCGGCCTGGCAGTGAGGCTTTATAGCATGAGAATAGTAGTGATGGCTCACGTCACAGAGGGCCTCTCAGGCAACCAAACAAGAAAGCCTTTCCACAGCTCTTCTTTTTGCCAAGAATTGTGCAACCAGTCAGCTACTGGTCAGTGGAAAAGCAATAATGAAGGCACCTCTGATCAGCCGTTCAGCGGATGGGAGAGTTCTGCCACTTTGCTGACAAAATGTCATTGGTTCTTCAATGGTGACTACGCTGGCTTTATTCCTCCCTCAGATTAGTTCCCCCCCCCCCCCCCCCGAGTATTGTGCTGACAGCACCCCTATGTTGCCTACCCTTTACATTCCAGAAGATGTCTGGAATATGCATGACAATGACAATAGGAGCAGCAGGTGGCTCAGTTGGACTGCCAGTCTGCAACCTGCAACTGTCACATGACCTACAATACTGCGAGAAGCTGTATTGCCTCAAACACTGCTACTATTCAATATGTGGGAACTAAACTGTTTTCTTTTCCCCCAAACTTCTCATTGCTCCAGACTTTGTATCTGATGGTCCTGAAGACATGCTGCATGTAGCACCATTATTTTGTGAGCTATACTAGTTCCTTTTAGCTTCTGGATGCAATTCAAAGTGCTGATTATCACCTATAAAGTCCTTCATGGCACAGGGCCAGGTTATTTGTGTGACCATCTGTCACAATTATCTCTGTTCATCCTATGGAATCTGGCAGAATGGGCATGCTGAGGGACTTTTATAAGAAACAGTGTCACCTGGCAGGAGCAGGAGGCATGCTTTCACTGTCACAGCACTTGCCCTATGGAACACTTTCCCCAAGATTTAGATGACCCTGATCCTGCTGTTCTGTTTCATGGGTCTGAAAAACCTGGTTCTTCCCCCAGGATTTTAAGAGCATGGAATAAGCCATCCAGAGATGAAACAACATGAATGAAATATGTGATGGTTGGCCTTGCTTATTCTATACTGAATGCTGTATTTTGTTTTTAGCATTTGTTTTTATGCTTTCATCTAACTATGTTGCCCAAGATCTCTTTTGTGAGTGGGGCAGCCATATAAATGAAAGAAAGAAATATACATATTTTTTCAGCAATTATTCTTGGGCATGCATTTTTTTCTTAACCAGGGCCTTTTTGTTTTCATCATTCCACCAAGCCTTTTTTCATTCTTTCCATCAGTGGAATTTAATTCTTTAATTCTTTCCAAACATTTCTGTGGCACTCTAGAGGATAAGCAACTTCAACATTGCTTTACATCCATTGCTTTACTTCAACACTGCTTTACATTTCTATTCATTCTATTGAGAAATTAAATAATTCTCTAATGTTTTTTCAAATACAGCTCATACTTCCGCTTCCTGAGTCACTGAACTTTCACTCTAGTTTATTTAACCTTTTTTCCCATGTCCATTTTTCTCCTCAAAATCAACACTAGAAAAATGATGTAAAAATTTCTCATCGTACTTGTATCCTTCAGTAATTCTCTTAAACTAACAATCTAATCAATTTCATTCATTCGTTAGCTTTGCGAACCTATGCATCTATATGTTCAAGATAATAGACATTCGTCAATCACCATTTTCATTCAGTCTCAGTCTCTCCCTCCCTCCCTCCCTCCCTCCCTCCCTTGGCATTCTCTCATCTTGCCCCCATCCCATCCATTCTTGGTCATTTAACATACAAACTTTTCCCCCAAGGTAACATCTATTCCAATGTTGCATTCCTCTCCCTCCCCAGGGTGCACTCCCAGTTCTTTTATTGTCTCCATTCATTAGAATATAACATATAATTATCAGTAACCTATGAATTCATATCTTCATATTTTCTGGTATACGTTTTAATGTACTAATTTCATAATTAAATCTACAACTTTAATCCCATGCCTACATTCACTCCCCTCCACAGATCAGACTATTTTATTCAGATCTATTTCAGACTTCCCACATCATTTTTCTTTTTAAAATCATATTCTTCACCATAAATTCACAGTCATCTATAGGCCATGATTATTACCCAAAAAGATTGACTTCCATTGCCTGTCATGGCTTTCATCAATCAAAATATTGTGATAAGAAGTCAGAAAATGGACAAAAAAATAGGTTAACTAGCTTAGGCATATTGAAGCCACATTCACCATTCACTGCTGATTCACTGGACACAATAACAGACAGTTGTAGCCCATTTTTATACTATGCCATAAGTACAACCAAAGCTCTGTTTTACTCCAGTCATGCTTACTCTAAAATTACTCAGTCAGTTGCTAGCATCCTACCAAACAAGAGGTACATGCGTTATACTGACACACAATTTACAAACACAATAATACAATATTTGAAATAAACCATATTGTGAAAAATTGCACAATATCTACAACACATATTGCCATAAATTTTGAGGCTATTTTATTTTGCTGAAATCCAAGAAATTTCATTGAAAGCATAAAGGAAACAAATGTTATGACTTGATTTAAAAATAATTTCTGATCAACATAAAGCTATTTTATAAATACAAATACCCCAAATATAAGTCAAATATTAAAACTATTTCAACATTTTGGAATTAGTATCTCCCAGTGTTGACCAAAAGGAACATATGGAGTGGACTAAAAATTTGGTTATTTTTATAAGGCCAACAAACCTATGCTAATTATGCAAATATCATCAAACATTTAGAAAGGAGAAAACATACATTTAAAAACATGATTAAATGAGAATATAAATAAAATAATGAAGTCCAATGTACTGCTTAATTGCCTTTCATAAAACTATTACAAATCCAAGTTGTAAGCTTGCTTAACTCCTTAAGCAAGATGAAGCTAAATTGGACTACAGATAGCTCTCAACTTATAACCATAATTGAGCCTGGAATTATGTTTTTAAGTTGTTGTGGTTGTAAGTCAAGGCGTTATGTGACTGCATTTGAAGTTATAACTGTTTTTATAATGGTTGTTAATCAACAAGCACAGTTATTAAGAAAAGCCATTCACATGACTGTGAAGGGGAAGGGGTTCCATATACTTCGATGTTGTGTTAATGTGCATTGCATCAAGGTATGTATGTTTGTGTGTAGTTTGTGTTTTTAGACTGAAAAGTAGGATAAATTGTTATATTTTCTTCAAGCTATATTAATGGATTAGCCAAACATAGTTTGAGGAATTTAGAAATTTTAATAACTGTCAGTTATTCTATCATAATCTTTTTGATAATTGACTTGAGTACTTTTTTGAAAAAAGCATGACACAAATGTCTTACCTTAAATCTAAGCAATGTGTAATTCAATATAATGTATTAATATTTGAGAACCTCAGTCATCTTATGTGTGAATACTTAATGTGAGGGTGACACTACCCTTATTTGTACTAAATTGTACTAAATCTGAATTCTCTCTATAAAATTGAAGTTTAACTATGGGGAAAAGAGGTGAAGGCTATACAAATTATAGAAAGCTATGCACACACAAAACCTTAATCTTTTCACAATTTCAATACATAATGTCAAAAGCTTACAGATTAATTTTCTACATATATGAATGTACAGCTGAGAATTCAGAACTAATTCATCAATGTTAAACAGAGAAACATAATATTTATAATAGAAACTTATGAAAGATATCAATTGAATTGAACCAGAAGCAAAATACACATTTTCTAGAACTCATGACATGAATCTACTGTAGTTCCTAATGGAAATAAATAAAAATATTTCCACTGACAGTTTTAGTATCATAAGTTTATCACAGACTGGATGTATATGTGTAATAAGTTCACATGTGCACATCACACTCACCTAACAAAAATACAGGATGTACACTAATTATTTATTATATTCACTTATACAAACTAATAATATTAGTATACACAAATTAATAAACCTGACTTTAATTAACATCACAGCTCCATGTGTTTCTGGTTCCTGTCTTCTCCAATCCTGTGATGTTCCTGTTTTGCAAAAGGATCAGATCTGAAGGGGTGCCAAACACTGAGTGTACTGGCAGATCTAGTGACAGAGGTTACAAGGCCTCCACTTTCCAGAAGCTAGATTCCAGCTATTGTTTTTAGGATACAACCCAGTGAAATTAAGCAAACTAGCTCTACAGTCCGTATATGCCTTAATACAGAAGATATAGAAGAATATTTTGCATTCTTTCTTATAGTATAGACAAAGGATTATTTAGCATGAATATTAAGTATTAAATATTGTTAAATACTAGCAAAGGCACTTAGATAATGTCAGCATATTGGCCCCAACAACATGGGTCATCATTTTACCGACCTTGGATGTATGGAAGACTTAGTCAACCTTGAGCTGATCGGGATTGAACTCAAGGCTGTGGGCAGAGTTTTTAAGATTGCCATACTGCATTCTTAAATTAAATTAAATTAAATGAGGACCCAAATTTTGGGGGGCAATAGGTTGACTCTGTAAACCGCTTAGTGAGGGCTGTAAAGCACTATAAAACAATATATAAGTCTAAGTGCTATTGCTATTCTAACCACTGTGCCACCATAATCAAAATTACCCTGAATTTTATTTTTATTTTTACTTATTTATTTGTTTCTTAAGTCTAAAAAGCTTCTGTTATTAAGATGCAATTATAGAATATTCATCTTTTTTTACTTTCACAAACTTAGCACCTGGAGATTGGGAAAATGTTAGTAAATTTACTCTTCTTATTTTAAATAGTGTGAATGTTTTTTTTTTAGAATTGCATAAAATAGCTGATGTTTGCTAATTAGCTTAATTATTTATTTGCTGTCAGTGTTCATATACTGCTCCATAGTAGCCAACTCTACAGCAAGTTGCAAACTGCCACAGCAAACGTGTTATGTTTATATTTGCTAAATTATTTGCTCAATATCAAATATCAGTGAAAAGGCATTTTTCCTTCTCTTTGTTTTCAAAAAAGAAGTTTGAAACTATCTGATAAATCAACATATTTTGACAGAAACTTCCCCTATTGTTTTAATGTATAATTCACCCATCTTTAATAATACAATCCTCTAAACTTCACCAAATAATAAGCTCCACCTAATATAGTTTGATCTACTTCTAGAAAAAATATGCAGAGGATTCTGCTACACATTATTAATTTGTGTTAATCTCAAAGTACGTACTGTTAATTCAGAGGTCTTAGAAAATATTCAACATAATTTGGAACTAGCAAAATATTTGTAATTATTTTAAAATCTATATGCTACCCAACATCAAAAAACTGAGGGCACATGTGACCCAATTTTTAAGCTCTTTCTGATGGATCAATCAAATTCAAAAGTTAATGGGATCCATATTGATACTCAGAATATTTTGGCACATGGCTTTCAGAATCACTATCCATACTGATTATGGCTTACAGGAATTGTACTATTGCCTATCTCTGCTCTGAATAACATCAGCCTGAGATTCAATAGAAAGGATGAAATCCAATCTACCACTCCCCGCCTGCAATGACTCATAGATTGATTAATCTTTGCTACAGCAAACATTTGAATATATAGTTCCACATTCATCTATTCAGTTTTCTAAATATTCAGCTTTCTAAATATAATTTGGATTAAATTCAGCTTACTAAATACAATTTTTATATTTATTCAATTTATATCACATATTTGTACAAGAAGCTTATGACAATTTAATAAAGGGAACAATTTTTCTGTTTTATTATAATATATATTGAAATATAAATATAATTATGAAATAAATGTCAGATTCCATTAAATATAAGCACTGTTTTTTTAAAAAAAGATTAGATTCAGTTCAATAGAACTGAGATACTTCTATTAAATCAGGAAAGACCAGGATTGTTAAGCTTAGATATATTGGGGTTTTTGTTGTTGTTTGATAGTTTGTTACATTTTACCTGATATGCAGTTACTTGATATACAGTTGTTATAATTGAAATAAGGTATATTTTCTTTGGGATTTCTTAGGAATTCTGTTTTATCTGATATAAACCTACCTTTTTATCATATACATCTTGCCAATTTATTCCAACAAAGAAGCTGTGTCGCATAATTTCTTTAGCATCATCTGGTCCTCCACCAAGACTATTGGGGAAGAGTGTAAACAATACAGTTCTTATTAGTAAAAAAGAAAAAAGGGGGGGAAGTACCCAAAGACCATGTGATCACTAAAAAAATTAAAATTATTCCATGAAATAATTTAAGATTTAATAAGTAAGCCATTAATAATTAAAAACACAACTTTCAAGTTGGGGGATTTGTTTTTAAAAATAACAATACATATCTAATTATATGCCTTCCTTAATACAATTTGGAGTTCATGCATTTTCACTTGCAGTTATTAAAACTTGCTATACAAATTAATTGGATTGAAAACACAGGAATGCTCATATAGATTTTAATCTTAAAGCAAAAAAAATTCCTAGAATATGTAAAGTGAATTTTGCATGAGACAAAAGCAGATTAGAAAGAGTTATCTGCACTTTCTGTTCCTTTTACTTCAAAGGACCCGCATATGTGGTACAGCCAATCTGCTGGTATTATTGATGGTTATTTTATTATGTTTGGATCCTATGTCTTTTTATTCTATATTATTTGTTTTAATCAGCTATCAATCAATCAAATAAATAATATCTGAAAGTGTTATAAGATAAAAGAGGCAATTCAGGAAACTGAGATACCAGTAAAGTATGCCTTAGTGCCTCTATCACTCACACTGATTATCAATACAACTTGAACACATTTCCAATCTTGAGAGAGTGATATTTTACTGTGGTTTTGGCATAACTTTCCTGTTCTGTTTCTAAAAGTTGCTACCATGCTTTCCGATTTTGTTAAAATACACTATTAGTTCAATTCTTTTTTCAGTTTTCTATATATTTTTAAATAATGTTATGCTTTTAGTTACATTACATTTTCCCTGCTTCCATTTAAAGATAACCAAACTTATTCAAAATTAGCTTTTTCATTTAATTGTCCTTTATGCAATAAGACTATCTTGCTTATCTAATTATATTCTCATTAAGCCATGAACATATTTATCAGCTATAGCTCCCATCTAATTCTTTTAATATAAGGCTTTTCAAATGTTTATGTGTTTGTGAGTGTTCTCTTTTCTCTTTCACATTTACTACATCTTTTTCTTTGAATGTACTTTGCATTATATATGTAAAATCATTTCATAAAAACTATTTAAAATTATATATTTTGAGTATTTTTATGCTACTTTAATCTGCAAAGAGGAACAAGGAGAGCATGTAATGAGCAATTCATCACAAAGTTCCAATGCAAACTTCTTTCCTTGTATCGTGGCATCATAAAGCATGTTTTATCATAGCAATATTATAATTAGGGTTATGGCTTCAGTTATGTAACTGTTAAGTGGCATAAAGCAACATAAAGAAATAATTATATTGTGTGCTTATGTGTGTAAATATAAACGTATAAATATAGATGTCTGTGACCGTTTTCCAAGGAATATGAATAAAATGTAGCAACTATTGCATTTGCTTCCATGCAACTATTAGAGATATGCCTTTCCCTGAAATTATTGCTATCAAACCTATGAAAAGACAAATTTACAGAATGATAGAGAGGTGCTATGCTATACCCTCACATTCCATAGTACTTCTGTCTATTAACAGCAGTTCAACTTATCGATTCAAATAAGACAATTGAATTTACAAAGAGAGGAAAAGTGTCCAAATAGAGTTGCAATACAACACAAAGAAGTTTTTTCTCCTTAACACCTAAATTACTTATAAGAAATAATTTGATAATGGTTGAGCCATTATTTTCTCTGAGACTTTACAGCAGGTTAAAATTTATTTTTTCAGGAAAATATAGGCAACTTCTATGCTTCATCATTGTATTCTCAATCCAAAAACATTAATACCTCTTTTTGAGTTTTGAGAGCCAATAACAGACCTACAATTTTAATAATTGTATCCCATTATTTGCAGTGAGCCCAAAGAATATTATTACCATCACTTTTTAAACCTTATTTATTGTATTTAAAAATGTAATATATAATTCAAATACTAGAAAGTCCAGTACTGACTAACTAAGCACCATTTTAGTTCTTAAGAGATATTTCCTGTTTAGTTATAAACTTTGCCACTTCTGATCCTATAAAAATTTTAATACTAAAATATATCTGTTATACTTTAATCTTACCGTTTATTTGGATCTTTTATCAAGAGACCTGAAAGCAATGATTTTGCATCAGATGAGAGAGTTCGAGGAAATTTTATATCTTCCATCAGAATGAGTTCAAAAAGTTTTTCATGATCCTGATTGTAGAATGGCAATCTGCCACACATCATTTCATACATAACAACTCCAAGGCCCCACCAATCCACTGCACGACCATAATCATTGTCTTCCAAAACCTAAAATAGCAATATCAAGGCATTATTAACACTTAGACAAATATATTTACCTGACAAACAGCTTACTTCTGAAATAATTACCCTTTAAAAGATAACGTTATCATAATTTTCTAAGGAAAAGGAAAGTATTATATTTAGTCTTTGTTAAACAAGGCAGTAACTTCATTTCAAGGTCATTACCCTTCTAGGTAAACACAAATGTATATGATTTAAAAGATTTTGAGCATCTGTTTTAAAAGTATCAATTATGTGCCTTGAGCTCTACTGTTTTATTTATTAGAATCAAGGATTCAATTTAGCGTAGTGGAGCATAGTCCTGGTCATAAGGTATTTCATTTTTCATCTTCCACTATAAAAGCACTGATGTGGTTGCAATAATTCTGGAGAAACCGCAGGTATCTTCTATTTGTTATGCTATGGCACTGTTATGACAAAAATTAATGCTCCGAGGCAGTGTTTCTCAACCTTGGCAACTTTTAAGCTCTGAATTCAACTCCCAGAATTCTGAGGGATTTGAGGACCACACAACTTAAGTTGCTACGGTTAAGAAACACTGCTCTAAGGATTAAACAATATATAAGGCATAGGCTTGGTTTATTGTTTGCCAATCAATTAACAGTGGAATGCACCATATAGAGCATTATTTTCTATTATTCATCAAAGCAACTCTTTGAGGAAGCTTCGACAGTAATTGGCCAAAGCCATCCACTAAACTTCTTTGGCCAAGGATAGCCTGTAACCAGGCTGTCCAACAGCTTAACCACTACATTACATTATTTTTTAATTATTATGGTCAGTTGTATCATCAGCCAGATGTTTAGACTGGATCTAGAATTTTTTTCCACCTATCAAGTTCTTCCCAAGAATCTGGGGGTAGAGGAATGTTGGTATTTGTTAACGGTATCATTACAGGATATAAACTATACCAACTAAAGTTATATTCTATAATGGAATGGTGGTAATTTTGTCAATGACAAAGTCTTCAAGCGGTATACCAAATTTTGGGGATCGCCCCCAAGGCATCTTTTCCTATTGATACTAACTTTGTTCTCTTTTGCCATTGGCGTTTTACTTCTATTTGCAGGCCTTTGTATTTTGTGATTTTCTCCAATTCTTTCTCTTCTGTTGTCTTCAGGTACGCAATATCCACTATCCAGACATTTTTGTCTTTCTTATCAATAATTGTTAACTCTTGAGTGTTATGTAGCAGGTGCTTATTGTTATGGTCGGTTGTACATTCAGGCAGAAGTTTAGGCTGGATTTGGCTTTTTTATCCATCTACTGAGTCCTTCCCAAACCCCTGGGATAGATAAAGGTTGTAATTTAATAATATAAATATATTATTGCAGAATGTAAGCTATGTCAAGTAAAATAGCTTTTTGCAATTGACTGGTGTTGATTTTGTCAATGCCGATGGAGTTCAAGAAGTGCTGCAGATATCTTGGCATTCTATTCAAGGCTAAATTTGTTTAATTTTGTTTAATACATCTTTGTTTTCTTTTGCCAAAGTATTGCAATCTCCACTATCCAAACTTTTAAAAATCTTTCTTATCAATAATTATTAAGTCTGGGTGTTATGTGGCAGATGATTGTCTGTTTGAATTCTAAAATCCCAGAGCACTCTATCTTCTTCATTTTCTTCATTTTCTATTACTTTGTCTGTTTTGTGGTCTCACTAGTTCTTGCTTGCAGGCAAGTAGTATTTCTTGCAGATATATGCACCATTATTGGTACTTTGTCATGCCATTGTTGTTGTTGCTCTTGTTGTTATAGTTAGGAATGCTGGAACAAAGAAAATATTCCTATATTTTTTCCAGTACCATATAATATGATACAACTGTACACATCATTGTATAAGAACTCCTTTCATTGTTAAGGTACATCTGTAAATTTATTTAATGGCATTAAGATAAAAAAGAGAAGTATTTCTTCATATATAGGATTATGCCTATAAAACTGAATCAAGTCCTACATCTATCTAAATAAATGTATATCAATTACATTTAGGAAGAGTTTACTAATATTAGAAATAAAAGCAGTATTTTAGAGTTTTTCTGCTTGTTTTAATAATCAATGAGATAAAGTTCTACTTTTCAGTGATGAAAAGAATAAGACAGTAATGCAGAACCACTGTCATACATTAAATTATACTTGATCAGTAAGTTACTAACATCTTTCAGTTAGTGTATTAACACTATATAAACCATCTTGGGACTATTACATTTAATTGACACTAAATTATTAAATAAAATTTAATTGATGATATAAAAATATCTTAAAACTATTTCAGTTTACACATGAATAAAAATATTAGATTGGTGAAAAGCAAACTTTGTTATTGTTAAATAACTCACATATCTATTGTAACATTTAGAATGGGGATCCCCTTTTGCATTAAAAAAAGGAAAAATATATGTGGTAAAATATGAAGTGTCTGAGGCTTTTTTTAAAAGTATACACAATAAAACTTAACATTTACTTTGAAACTACCACCAATAAAATATCTAGTGAAACAGATCTAGAAACTGAAATTGAATAATTTAGAGAAAACATGACACTTCAATTCAACCTTACCATAGCAAGGCAGGATTTACTCAGTTGTTATAATAAATATATTTCCTATATATTAGGATCATTCAATATATTTCAAAGATTTAAAAACATTAGCTAACAAAAGTCATGGTTTCCAGTTATTAGATTATTTGACAGGCTTAACTTAAAACATGATTTTATTCACATAAGTTCTTGCAACAGAAAGAACTATTTTAAATGCAGTTTAATTTTTTTTCAAGACAAATTCAACTACAATATCATGTTTCTCTTTTCCAATTTATTCATCTTTTACTATGAATGTTGTGTTTCATATCACTGAGTATCAGTGAGCTTATTTTGAGCAGTGTTAAACCACAACTGAGAAGCAGTTTGTTCTAGTGTTTAAGGCATCAGGCTAGAAACCAGGAGGCCGTGAATTCTAGACCTGCCTTAGGCACAAAGCTGGCTGAGTGACTTTGGGCCAGTCACTTTCTCTCAGCCCCAGGAAGGAAATAATGGCAAACCTCTTCCGAAAAACCTGGCCAAGAAAAATACAAGGACTTGTCCAGGCTATCTCCAGGAACAGAAAATGATTCCAGAATGAGCACACAAACTTGAGCTCAAGCATAATTTTACTTTTGATGGGGGAAACAAGTTCTGAAGCTTTCATTTCCACTGTAAACAATCTCAACACATACAGTACAGCAGACATATGGATAAAAATGCATTGTTTTGAAATGTGACTGTATCCCAAGTCCCCAAATTGCAACTGGCAATTGTTGGATTAACTTTGGGACATTACTAATAGCACTTAGCATAGCATTTTAGGCTTACATATTGTCCCATAGCACTTTACAGTACTCTCTTGGAGGTTTACAATGTCGAAGCATTATTTGCATATTGCCCCCAACAATCTGGATCTTCATTTTACTGACCTGGAAGGATAGAAGGTTGAGTTAACCTTGAGCCCAGTCAGCATCCAAGCCTGTGAGCAGTTTGCAATCCTACACTTGTAACCACTGCCCCACCAAGACTAATGAAACTCATTAAAATATTCTTGGGGAGAAGCTATATGTGTCTTTCTATTTATCTATCCTTTTTTTTTAACTTTAATAAAGTATTATTGTCAAAATACTTCATGTCTTTTTATTCATATGTTTTTAAATAAATTTCTCTGATTGATCACTGACTATATTATGCAGCCCTGATTACTATTTTAAAAAAATATCAAGGGAGGAGGTGAACTCCTTTCATTGGTTGCGCTCAAGTAGGGGCTGGCAGCCATATTGTCAGACATATTTGGAGTCCTATACTGAGCAGGAGACTGGACTTGATAGCCTAAATGGCCCTTTCCAATTATGTTAAAAAAAAAGACAAAGAAAAAGAAAAAGAAAACCCTTTACATAATGGACATAGGCTGTTTCAGAAATGTAATAAGATTACTAAGAGGACATATACACATATTTAAACATAAAACTAGGTAGCAATTTTAAATCTAGCTTTAAAGTATTATAAAAACTGTATTTCGGGAAAACTGAAAAATAAAAATTATTTACTTTCTGGAGGGCTCCCCCCACTCCAGCTAAATATTATTATATAGGACAATGATATGAAAATATACTCAAAAGTTAATTGTTACTAAGTAATGAATTCTTACTTTCAAGAATGTTTGCATATAAGCCCATTCTTTTATGTCAGGCTTTAATATGAATAAGATAGAACCATGATAGCGAACCTAATGCTCTTCTGAGTTGAGCCGCGCCAGCCAGCTGGTCTCCACACACGCAGGAGCACTGAAACCAGAAGAGCAGCTGCCCGGTGCGCATGTGCATGCCAGGAAGATAATCTTCCAGTTTCTGGCGTGTGCCTGCGCACTAGCCACCTGATCTTCCGGTTTCTGGCATGCATGTGCGAAGATCAGCTGGCCGAACCAGAAAATCATCTTCCCGGTGGCTGGTCTTCCGGTTTACCAGCCAGATGGTCTTTGTGCATGCATGCGCACCAGAAACAAAGACCTGCTGGCCGGTGTGCATGTGCATGCCAGAAACCGGAAGAGCAGCCGCCAGGTGCATGCATGCGCACCAGGCAGCTGCTCTTCTGGTTTCCGGCCCACGCACATGCACACTCCCATTTCGGCATGCCGAAAACACTGAGATAGAATATTGACAGTGAAAGTCATTTAATCAAAATTACCATAATATGAAAACAATTACCAATCAATTGTTCTGTATATTCTTACTTGGCATTCAAATAATTTTTATTTTTACACTATTACAAAAGTACATTTTCTAGGATTCCAAGAAACCACCTTATTCAACCTTCCCCATCTGTCACCATCTGTTTCTTTTTAGCATGTACTTTTTGTGTGATCACATAAGCATGTGAAAAAAACTAATATTCATATGATTATCTGTTCATGCATTTGAGGACTGGACATAATGAAGCTGAAATGCCAAAAATGTACTTAA